TTAACAATCCTTACTTTTCGTTAGCCGATTCATGTGTTCAACAATTCGGCTGCGATTCCTATTGCGCCGCGGACCAAGGAGTTCAACCCATGGCTCTACATCGTGCCCTATCCTCGTTCCGTCTGGCGTGCTTCAACGTTCGGACACTAATGTAGAATGGTCAGCAAGCCGGTCTAATGGGCACCCTAGAGCGCCTAGACATTGATGTCTGCTGCATTTCGGAAACTCGGTTGCAAGATCCCAGCACTGTGCTTAAATTGACATCCCCCCACTGACCACGAAGCCAGATATCACCTGCGTCTTTCTGGAGATCCAGAAGCAGCCTCAGCGGGTTTGGCTGGTGTAGGTATAGCACTAAGTGGCAAGGCCGAGGCGGCACTATTGGACTGGTTCCCTATTACCAGCCAACTACGTGCAGTTCGGCTTCGGGTTCCATGTAGAATCAACAAGCACCGCGAAGTGAGACACAACTTGTTTGCGATCTCCGTGTATGCCCAACTGACTGCAGTGGCGAGTCGGTCAAGAACGAATTATACCGGGATCTACAGCAGCCCTTGACTAATGCTAAAATTTCGGACGTCGTTATCCTTGCTGGAGATTTTAATGCACGGGTTGGCCGCCTGTTGCCATACGAACGCCAACTTGGTGGTTATCACGCGCTCGACGAGAACCGAGCTGATAACGGACAGAGGCTTCTCACATTGTGCGAAGGCAACCGTCTGTTTCTCTCGAGCACTAACTTCAGACGTACGAAGAAGAGTTCCACAACGTGGCTTCCCCCTTCTTCAACACAACCGTGGTCTCAAATTGATCACATTGCCATTAGCTTCAGATGGCGCGGCAGCGTACTAGACTGCAGGTCCTTTCGATCCACCTTCATTGACTCAGATCATGCTCCGGTCTGCGCGAAAATCTCTATGTGTTTTGGAGGGTCCCGAAACACGAAGCACCGCAAGATTGATGTAAACAGATTAACTGATTCCTCTGTCCAAGTGAGCTATCAGTCTTCACTGGCATATGCACTCAGTTGCAATCCACCGCAAGACGTGGAGCAACACTGAACTTGTATACGGAAAGCGATGACCATTTCCAGACAGTCAAGCTGTAGCCTGTCTTAACGCTCCTTAAAGGCTTGGATCTCTGCTCGTTCACTGGAGCTGTTCGTACACCGCAAAGATATTCCTCCTGAATCAGATTGCAACGTGCGGCGCCGTGCTGTCAACCAAATGCTCAAGCAAAGCCTACGCACGGATCTCAAGACATGGTGGTCTGAGCGTGCTTTAGAGATGGACACCGCTCTCCTCTCTGGCAACACTCGCAGGCTTTTCTATCTCATTCGGTCCACTGGCCTCAGGAAGCCTGATATCAGTGAGGTCATTTGCGAGATGATCACCAACCACCAGAGGCGTATGGACAGCTGGGCAGAGCACTTTCACTCGCAGTTCAACTGGCCTCCACCATCCTTCAGTACATGCAGTACACCTTGTTGCCCACCCTGACTCGTCCCACTGTATCCACCCAGCGAAGCGGAAATCTGCCTCGAGATTCGACGCTTGTAGCGCTTCAAGGCTGCCGGCTTAGACGGACTTCCTCCGGAACTATTCAAGTACGGCGGTGTGACGATCATTAACCAGCTGACCGCGCTGTTCGCAAAAATTTGGCATGAAGAGAAAGTGCCTTCCTCTTGGGGCGAATCAGTTATTGTCCCGACTTTCAAGAAAGGCGCTCGCACTTCATGTGCAAATCATCGCGGGATTAGTCTTATTTCGGTTGCCTCTGAACTACCGCCATCCATACTGCTTCGCAGACTATCCCCAGTACGTGAATCATACTACCGTGAAGAATAAGCTGGTTTCCGTCCCGGCCGCGGATGCGTGGATCAAATCTTCACGCTCCGCCAGCTCCTTGAACATCACCACATCTATCACAGGCCCACTATCATTGCATTCCTAGACATACGTGCCGCTTTTGACTCCGTTGATCGACCTGCTTTATGGTGTTGCATACTAAAGAACGGGGTGCCAGAGAAATATACCGCCATCTTACGAGCACTTTACCTTCATACATGCGGCAGAGTGAGCGTCTATGGCAAGCTTTCCTCGCAATTCGCTGTCAATAGCGGTATACGACAGGGCTGCCCTATGTCCCCATTCCTCTTCAACTTCACAATCGAAGACGTTCTGTCGAATGCTCCAGAAGGTTTCTAACATTTTGGCTTAGAGCTTCTACCGGGTGAGCGCGCGACCGACTTAGATTATGTTGACGATATCGCCTTACTTGGTGACGATCCTCAGAGTATGCAACTCATTCTGGATCGTTTGGCGGTTGAAGCATCTAAGTATGGCATGAGCTTCGCTCCATCGAAGTGTAAAGTACTGCTCAAGGATTGGCTTTCACCTGTTCCCGTACTCACTCTCGAAGGTGCACAACTTGAACAGGTAGATAGTTTTGTCTACCTTGGGAGCTGTGTTTCTGCTGACGGCACTATCGACAAAGAAGTTTCTCTTCGTATCGCTAAAGCTCGATCAGCATTTGTCAATCTGAGGCACTTGTGGCGTCGTCGCGACGTCTCATTCTAATCAAAGGTCCTCGTGTATAGCGCATCAGTTCGCTTAGTATTGTTGTATAGGTGTGAGTCCTTGCCGATTCGCGTGGAAGACATGCGCCATCTTTCTGCCTTCGAAAACGGTTGCTTAAGGAGCATCGCTCGTGTTTGGTAGCAACATGGAGTTAATAGTAATGACGTTCGACGTCGCATTTAGGTGAATGCGAGTATTCCCTTCAACAAACTGATTTTGTTGCGCCAGTTAAGATGGCTCGGTCACGTCCTACGCATGGCACCTGAGCGTCTACCGTGTTGCGCTCTATTCGCTCGTCAAAGACCGGGCTGATGGCGACAGCACATGGCGACAGCACATGAAATCGCTGAAGTCATGTCTAGCCACTGTTGGATGCGTACGTCTTCCAGGATGGACACCGAAAGATGAGGAGTGCCAATGGATTAGCACTCTAGTATACATGTCCCGCAACCGGAATCAGTGGAAGAATTGTGTACAGTATTGTTTGGGTTCACATGTTTAACACTACAAACAGCAGCAACGACAAAAAGAGCAACATCGGCGTGACAAACAAACTAAAAATGTTTTCTTCTACTTTGTGTCAAAATGTTCCATTCTTCTTGCGGCATATTAGCTGAAGTATGTTGCTCACCTTCATCTACTATTCCAATATGATTATGACGCTATGACGGTCCCTTATCCGATGATCTCCATGGTTTTCTGTCGGCTCTTTTTCCATTTGCTATACTGCTGGGATTACTTACATACTCATGTGGCTTCGCCTCGAGTTGTCAGTTTGTAATGTTCCGTTTTACCTCCCTGGCCTTGGCATTCGGATACTGGCGAGCAAGACAGCCCTCACATCGCATGGAACCTGACGGGCTTGCGAGAGCATGTGAGTAGAGTTCGCACACATGAAACCACCTCGTCCGTGAGGACTATCGTAAATGTTACTCCATGTGCAATTGAAACACTTGCAATACTATCACGGTGCGTCTTACAAGGACCTGGCCGAACGCCCACGTTTCACGGCAACCTCCCTTTCCGATTTGTCTTGTGTAAGCCTATTAAAACCACAGTACATTGAGACGAACTTATTTTGCGTGAACTTGAAGTTCAGGTTGTTTACTATCTTGGATTACTGTCATTGTCTAATACGCTTGTTCGGAAGCACAGATTGTTGTGATATTGTACATTCATCATTACACGTTAGCTGGAGGTGGAAAGCCCCTCAGCTATTGTGCCGCAATACAAAAGACAAGAAAAGGAAAACAAATAGTGGCATGCCTGCTGAGTCCCCAGTAACGGATGGATATCGTTCCGGAGAGCTAACAGCTGGCTGCCTTAAAAGAGAGTCACATTAAACCTATCAAGCGAGATCATGATTGGAGGGGGATGCTAAGCAGGAGGGGGTGGACAAAGAAAATCACAACACAAACGTCAATGGTGCCGGCTCCGAGCCATATCAGCAAGTGTGTCCAACCAATCGGGATGCACCAACGGACGCCAACTTCGAAGTGAGGGTTTTCATTTCTCTCGACCAAGTCATCACTTGGCCTCCCCTTCTCCTCTTCCAACTGCATCCACAACGCGCAAAGAGTGCACGTCGCGGGAGTCGGTGTGTTGGCATGAGCAACACGTGGCCCAACCTTCGGAGCCTGGTGCTTGATATAATGGTGCTGAGCGGTTCACTCGCTCTTCCTGCACCAAATACGCGACGCCGAACACGCTCATTGCTCACGCGGTGCTTCCACCAGACTTGAGCTAAGCTGCGAAGGCAGCGATGATCGAATATGACGAGCCTCTTTATGTCTGTCGACCTGATGGGCCAGGTTTCACAGCCATATAAGAGAGTTGAACAGACGGTTGCGTTGTAAACTCTGCCCTTCAGGTCGAGAGTAATGTCGCGTCTGTGCCACAGGTGGCGGAGATTGGCAAAAGCACCTCGAGCTTTGGCTATACGGTTCGTAATCTCATCTTCAATCCCACGGGTGGCTAATATAGCTGCCCAGATACTTGAATTCCTGAACGACTTCTAGCAGATCACCACCAAGCGTTAGCGCAGGGTTGGGTCCCTGCCAATCTTGGAGAAGTACTTTGCATTTCGATGGAGCAAAGCATAGCCCAAAACGATGGATAGCCAGTGCTAATCGGTTCAGTGCTATTTGGCATGTTTGGGGGTATTGTACATTGTTGCTTGTAATTATTTGTAATAGTACCGTATTCCAGTTCCGGTCTTGATTTTTTGAAACCTGTGGAGACGTTTTACCTCAAGATTTCCAAGCGGATTGCCGCTTACACCCACAGAACCGTTTACAATATATGGGATGGGCCTACACCAATATTACGGAGAGCCTACCAATCGGGTTCCAGGTATGCCCGAACTGCATACCAACCTCAAACCACGTGACAGAAATCCGAAATCAATGGTTTTCAAGACACATCTAATCAATAATATCCAGAGAGGGTTTCCCTGACGTCTGGTAAACTACTTACGATGAGTATTCCTCAGAGCATAACCGATCTCGAGGCCCGTAGGCCATCAGATTCAATCATGAAACAACGATTCTACCAGAAAGCGCTCCAACTTGAACCAAAGACTCACTTTTCCTGTGTTGAGATAGAAGGTCTGTTGCGCATTTTTGATAAGCTGGTTGAAAAATACCAATCTCCCATGAACAAGATAGTGTTTAAGGACGTTTTGTTCAACTTTTTTGGCTTAACGAATGACCTCATGCTGGAACGAGTTTTCCGTACGATGACCAACGGGAAAAGCTTCATGACACACGATGACTGGATAGCTGGAATGGATATTTATCTTCGTGGTAGTGCAGCCGAGCTGGCAGAGTTCGCATTCACAGTTTATGATTACCAAAAAAGGGATTTTCTATCAAAAGAGGATATCCAGATGTACCTGGAGGATGTAATCATTGCCCGTATGCCGGATGAGGATGTTGATGAGTGCCAAACAGATATGCTTGACATGGTTTTTGTTATGTTTGATCAGGATAAAGATGGATACATAAGCCGGAAAGATTTCCTAAAAAGCGTGCAAATAGAGCCATTGTTGTTGCAAGTCCTCGGAGAATGCATCCCCCCACTTAATACTGCACTCACGTTGGATTCCCTGATTAAATGTGGCAACGAGAGAGATTATCCATTTTAGAACAAACTTTAAACATAACTGTCACATTGTATGATAATTCTCCAAAAATAACAACGACAAGTCCCATGCTGACATGTAATCGGTGGAACAGTATAATGCCGGTTGAGTGATGTCAAGTTAATTTAAAAGGTGTCGGTCGGTGGCCGAGCAGTCTGCGCGCCTAGTTCGCGACCATAAGGTCACTGGTTCGTCTCCGCGTAATTGTGGGCGTTCTGGCGTGACTGGTGGCGGTCGCGAAGAGTTGTTACGGCGTACAGCTGGCCATTTCTTTATTTGTTTAACTTAAAGGTCGCGCCTGCGATCCACTGCAGAGGACACTTCCTCAGTCGTCGTCTTATTTTGTGACCCATTCGCGCTGGACTGAGTGTCATCGTTCGAAATGGCATACCTCCAACAGTCCAAGTCCTCAGGTCTGCATTCGTGCAAAAGCGAAAAAGATCCTCCGCTGCCCCAACGACAAGTATATCCTGGCCGTCGGACTCCAGCAAGAAGGCAGGTACCGATACTGCCACCTTGATGGACTGCCTGCACTCGAACCCGCGTTTCTCTTCTGCTCAAACCGAGGCAATCAGCGTTACTGCCTCCTTGGCATCCCTGCCATGTTCCTCGTCATCTAGCTTCTGGTCCGGTTACCCCCACTGGTAAGCGAGACGTGACTGTTGACCAGCGGTAAAAGCCCCAAATACCAGACTTATGCATCCGTAGCGAAGGATGTGCGCACTCGTCCTCGCCAGTACGAGTGGCTGAAATAGGCAAGACTGATGTCAAGAGTGAAAAGCAAACCATTGTCTTCACATCGCAGATGAAGCTAGTTCTGATAGAGTCACTCAGCTGGAAAACTGCTTAAGGAGGGTCCACCTTCCCACAAACCGCAGATCCCTGTAACAACAAATCACCCTCCCGTGGCCGTTGCCTAATCATCATAAATGCTCCTGGAGTCGTCCAAACCACTCAAGCTGAAAGGATTATGGATGATCAAGGGTTTCTAAAACGTACGATCTCCTTACTGCTCGACGTAGGTGAACCAGGAATCAACATCGTCTCCGCTTTCCGCCTTGGCAAGAAACAGGAGGAATCCTCTAAGGTTCGTCCTTCGAAGATTGCATGTCAAAGCGATGACGAAGTCAGTCGCATTCTCCGACGAGCTCCGCGTCTTAAAGGTCAATAATTTTTTGCACTGCGAGAATTCTCTCCGGAAGATCTAGTAAAAGGCAAAAAGCGGTTGATGAACGCAGATCTCCTCTTAATAACGGTGAGATGAACCTACACATAGTGGATTTTCACGTACTTCGGAAAACGACAAGAACTTGCTGGAGACCAATCCTTGTCATGCCAGGACGTTAGGGTTAAGAAACGGACTGCGCGTAATTTTTCCCATATACGCAGCCTCAGAAACCAACTAGACGAATTTTAGCTTCTTGCCACCATGCATCAGCCGGATCTTATAGCTTTCACCGAAACCTGGTTGTCCTCGGCTATCCTGGACCCGGAGGCTGCAGATCCCTGGATACCACCTTTGCAGGGCAGACCGCCATGGAGGAAGACCTGGGGGCGGTGTGATACTCTATTGAAGACGGACTTCAAGGCTTATCTGGTTGAAGCTACCTGTGGCAGCGACAGCGACTTCGAAACTCTCTGGTGCCGTGTTCATGACGGATGCAGATCTCTCATGATCGGTGTTGTCTACAGGGCCCCATTGGGTTCCGGAGCTTGCCTGATGGACGCGACCAAAATACATGGTGGAAGCAAGGACTGCTTATTACTGGGTGACTTCAGTGCCCCGATTATCGACTGCGACCAACTGCATTGCGTTCCCTTTTCAAACGCTTTTGATTTCGCTCTTCTAGAGACGGTTATCGAATGTAACTTGTTCCAACATGTTACATCGCCTACTCGTATAATTGCAGGACAAACGCCCCATATTCTTGACCTTGTATTCTCACCGGCACAATCAGATGTCACCCGCCTAGCCGTTCTTCAGCCCATTGGCATAAGCGATCATTGTGTGGTTTCATTCCTCTGGACGCGACGACTTACTCTCCACAACGAAGGCCGCCTCCGCAGCAATTTCTGGCGGGTTGATCCCCAACGCCTACAAACGGCCGCCAGTACTATGGACTAGAGTATATGCCCGAACCCTGGATTGGACGATGAGTGGAACCTCTTGCACTCCAAAATGATTTCGCTTCGTTGAGCAGGTCGTTCCTGTCTACAAAAGACCTTTTGCCCAGAGGTCCTCCAGGGATTGATCAGGAACTGAGGTGCCTAATGAACAAAAGACGGA